GGTGAATGGAACTCAGGGGGTGGGTGCAAGCTATAAAGTGTATGCAAATGCAAACCTTTTGTTTCCAGTTTTGGATAGAGCAGGGAAGGATTAAGCTAGCTATAGATTATGTGAAAAATCACTCGGTTTCCCCATCAATACTGTCAGTAAAAATTTGACATGCTTCTTGTACCCAAGTCATGCAGGAATCGACTTAAAGTGGAGTTCCACCTAAGAAAAAAAAAGTCAGCAGCTACAAACCTGTAGCTGCTGACTTTTAAAATACAGCCACTTACCTGTCCCTCAGTCCAGCGATGTCTTTACCACTACTGGTTTCACCGGCCATCTTCTTTCCCTGGCACCGGCATCTTCAGCTTGCGGCTTCACAGTCGGGTGCCCACTGCATATGCGCGAGAAGCGCTGCACATTGTGAATGGCCCCGTAGTCTTCTGGGACCTGTCATGTGTCCCAGAAAACTACGAGGAGGGAGGACAACTTCTGCTTCCGATCACCTAGGCGATCGCAGCTGAAGTGGGTACCTGTCGAATTCGGGTACCCCCTCCTGCCCCCCAAAGGTGCCAATCCTTAGATTTTGGGTTGTCCCCAGAAAAGTAATAGAGGGGAAATCTTCCAATGGGGACACTAGTTCTGGTGACCCGGTGGTCCTGAATGGATTTCCTTAATTGAAGGGATTTTCTCTCACAACCAGTTTTGATATGGGACAGGAAGTGAAGGGAAATCTCGGTAATGGGACACAGATGGCAAAAAAAAAATCTGACAAGTGTTATATCCCTCCCTTGCTCTATCCAAAATGAAAAAAAAAAAGCATTTGTCTTCAGTTCTACTTTAAGTAATTTTTAGGAAGAAATTCACAGAGCCATCTCACCAAGGAAGGTGGGGTCCCATAAGGCTAAAAAGCCACCAGCAACAACAAATTTGTATAGGTAGCACCAAAGGGGCGCTAACCTGAATAAAGCAGCCTCAAAAAGAAACCAACTGCATGATAAAGTGAAAAAAATTAAAAAAGATTTTATTGAATACAGATCACATAAAAAGATTTTTCACCTTGAATAGGCGAGTATTGCAAAATGTTTCCAAAACCACTTTTAAAGTAAAGGCTGACAACGTTGTCACCTTATTACCCCCTTATTGAGCTCAGGCTGTCACATGATCCAGTCATACCCACGTGCATACAGCTCAGAACAGAGTATTTATTCCAGCACAAATTGCTTTCAGTGTCGGGTTTTTATACCAAAGTAAATTCTGTAACAACCAGCTATATTTGTGTTAATTAAATCTCATATGAGATATCATATATATGGTACATGGTATCACTCTGATATGAAATGAAAGCAAAGAGAGGCAAAATCCAGGATGCACCATGAAAAAAATAATTAGTGTCAATACCTTCTATAGAAATCAGCAAAAATGATAATACATCACTATAGCCTTTAGTTCCTAATCCACGAGGAACTATACTGATTGAATGTCCAGAAAGGACCTTAAATGGATTGTTCCATTAGATAGTTCAACATGAAAGTTCATACTCAAGGGCAGTTCATCAATATGCAAATACAGATAGTCCTCAATTGGATCTTTCAACATTGCACCATTCACAGGCAGGTAAGTTGCAGCCAAAGCCAAGGATGGACAGAAAGCGGTCAGATGATATTAGTTAGGCAGTATGCAACACAGTGAGGAGAAAATAACCATAACATTGCCTTTGCTCGGGCATTCACATTCACCAATGACACCTTTCCATTGCAGCTCAATTAAACCACTAGCATGTCAAATCCTCAGTGCACGGAGGCTCTCACCCATCTGGTACTAGAAGCAATGATCCCGCCTGTCACTCTCCTCCTTGTCTCTCATCACAGGAGCTTCTTGCTGGAGCTGGGAAGATCCTCAGCCTGTTTCTGGTAATATCACCATTTGATGCACAGACAGAGGGTGCAGTACAAACCGCTGGCATGGACAGAGCTCAGGTTCACTGACACTACCAATGTCAATGCCAGTATGACATTTTTATTGCTGTGTCTCCATAGATAAGGTTCACACTTCTATTTGTACTGGAACCCACTATCATTGAAACAGAAAGTGATGGGAAATTTACAATTTTAAGGTTATCCCAAAAACAAGAGGTGAGATGAAATATTCCACTGGGAACACCTGTTCCAGGGACAACTGTCTAGAGGGGAATTCCACTCACTTTGGCAGAATTTATCTATTTTCCTGTTGTGTTTCTGGGGCAGTACTTAAAGGAAATCTCCACAAGCAATGCAAAAAGAAAAAATTAACCAAACAGAGCTTTTAACCCTTCCCTATTTTATCCAAACTAAGAAAAACGTTTTGGCTATACACACTGTACAAGGTACAATTGTCATTTTAAGCAACGTCTGTCTACTATATGATTCCTGATTCAATTATGATTTAATTCCAGGAACATTTACATATTTAATTACCACTGTTGTTTTAATAATTTTCCAAATAAATCAGTTGGCATGAATATCAAGCAGCACAAATATGGATGTTTTTTCATTTATAGACAATAGATATATTAATGTAGAAGAGGTTTTTAAATCAGTTGGCATGGCATGTATAGTATATTGATTGGCCCTTTAAAGGATAAGTTCACCTTTGGGAACATGTTACATGTTCCACCCGTTTTTAGGGTGGAACATGTAACATGCTCCCATAGCTGCAGCCGGCTCTGAAGAAGGGAGTTCATCTCCCGAAACGCATCAGCCTATCCCAATTAAGGGCACAGTATTCCACTGGACTGATATTGCAGACTACCTACTCTGTTTTTATTCTCTTTTGGTTTGTGAGTATATTTCTATATGTTTTTTCAATAAATACGTGGTGTACCACGTTAATGCACGATGAGAGTGGGCCCTTGTTTGCTTTTGTTCACCAGTACCAACATTTCCCGATCTTTGAAGGGCTGCACCTCACCATTTGGCATTCCAAATATCCTCTAGTCTGCATGAAGATTTGAGCACTGGTTTCGTTTTTTTTTTTTGATTACAGAGCTGCAGCCGTGCCCGCTGCCCCTCCTCCTTCTGACAGATATGGTAGTACAGGGAGAAGTTCCCCATACTGTCAGATTTGAAAACAGCGTGACTGTGCGGGGCTCTGTCCACATGGCCGCATCATTCATTTACAGACTTCCCATATGGCAAGCAGATATTCTGACAGGTCTGCAGGAAACCTGCATGGCATCAACAATCTATTGATCACTGGTGCAATGCTTTCTAGGCTCATGCAGACAAAAATAATAAATGCACATATTTTTTACTTGCAAAAAATGTGCATTTATTATTTTTGTCAAAAACGTGAACTTATCCTTTAATTCACAAATAGTTTAAAAAATGTGTGGTGTTTTTACATAGAATTGACATATTATAATGTCTATGCAGTGTAATCTATAGAGTTCCTGGTGTCCTAAACTCGTATAGAGTGAAGCACAGGCTCAGTCGGATCTGTAGTCTCTTACCTATATGCCAGAGCTGTTATCTGTAAACCTGTCTGTCTGTGATATCTAAATCAGGCCAAAGAGGAAAGGAGCACATCACTCTCTGGCAAATTCCCTGATAACAGATAACACATCACAAAAGAAAGATGAGCTCAGCATTCTCACATGTGCCTGAAATGGTTGATATCACAGCTGGCACATGAAGTGGAGTGGAAAGCTTCCTCTGAAATCACAGGCTTGAAGGCTGCCTAAATGCATCTCCGGCAGCAGACTAGAGACACAGCACCCTTTCAGCAGAGAGCTTTCTTTGTGTAGCCATGTTGCTGATTTATCTCATCCCACATTGTTGTGGGAGTGGATGCAGAATAGACATGCATGAAATTAACACACCACAAAAATGATTGTAGTAATTTAAGAGGAGATGAGACACCAGACTCCTCTGCCTCAGACAAGGAGAAGTGAGCCTGACCTTCAGAGGAGAGAAGGTTACTGGGACTGAGGAGTCAGCTATTCCCATTACAAACATTGCTTGTGTGCGTGACATTATATATTGCATTCACTCCTTCAAAAAAATACTGTTCTAGTTTATAAGCCATTTGCTTGTCCTTAGAAGCAAATTCCACTTCCTTAAAAATATAAAATGTGTATATGTATATATATATATATATATATATATATATATATATATAAATCAGGGGGGTGTGCAACTGGAATTGTTGCGGAGAGCCAAACTGTATACTTCTCAATATGTAAACCTGTGAGGAAGCTGACAGTCTCAGAGAGTCATGCTAACAGTGGAGACATCAAGGGCTGGATAGGGACAGCCAAAGGGCCCCATGTGGCCCCAATTTGCCCAGGTCTGATATACATTATATTACCAAAAGTATTGGGATGCCTGCCTTTACACTCACATGAACTTTAAAAGCATCCAAGACTTAGTAGGGTTCAGTATTGAGTTGGCTCACCCTTTGCAGCTGTAACAGCTTCAACTCTTCTGGAAAGGCTGTCCACAAGGTGTAGGAGTGCGTCTATGGGAATGTTTGACCATTCTTCCAGAAGCACATTTGTGAGGTCAGGCACTGATATCAGAGGAGAAGGCCTGTCTTGCAGTCTCCGCTCTAATTCATCCCAAAGGTGTTTTATCGGGTTGAGGTCAGGACTCTGTGCAGGCCAGTCAAGTTCCTCCACCCCAAACTCACTTATCCATGTCTTTATGGACCTTGACTTGTGCACTGGTGTGCAGTCATGTTGGAACAGAAAAGGGCCATCCCCAAACTGTTCCCACAAAGTTGGGAGCATGAAATTGTCCAAAATGTCTTGGTATGCTGACGCCTTAAGAGTTCCCTTCACTGGAACTAAGGGGCCAAGCCCAACCCCTGGAAAAACAACCCCACACCATAATCCCCCCTCCACCAAACTTTACACTCGGCACAATGCAGTCAGGCAAGTACCGTTCTCCTGACAACCACCAAACCCAGACACATCCATCGGATTGCCAGACAGAGAAGCATGATTTGTCACTCCAGAGAACACGTCTCCACTGCTCTAGAGTCCCGTGGCGGTACGCATTACACCACTGAATTCGATGCTTTGCATTGCACTTGGTGATGCAAGGCTTGGATGCAGCTGCTGGGCCATGGAAACACATTCCATGAAGCTCTCTACACACTGTTGTTGTGCTAAACTGAAAGCCACATAAAGTTTGGAGGTGTTTAGCTATTGACTCTTCAAACAGTTGGATACTTTTGTGCACTGTGCGCTTCAGCATGCACTGACCCCAGTCTGTCATTTTACATGGTCTACCACTTCGTGGCTGAGTTGCTGTTGTTCTCAGTTGCTTTCACTTTGTTGTAATACAACTAATAGTTGATCGTGGAATATTTAGTAGCAAGGAAATTTCACAGATGGACTTATTGCACAGGTAGCAACCGATCATACCCATTCCATGAAGCTCTCTACGCACTGTTGTTGCGCTAATCTGTAGGCCATACGAAGTTTGTAGGTCTTTAGCTACTGATTCTGCAGACAGTTGGCGACTTCTGCTGTTGTTCCCAGTTGCTTCCACTTATTTTACCACCAGCAGTTGACCATGGAATATTTAGTAGCAACGAAATTTCACGGATGGACTTATTGCACAGGTGGCAACCTATCACGGTAAAACACTTGAATTAATTGAGCTCCTGAGAGTGACCCATTCTTTCACAAATGTTTGTAGAAGCAGACTGCTTGCCTGCGTGCTCACTTGATTTTATACACCTGTGGCTATGGAGATGATTGGAACACCTGAATTCAATGATTTGGAGGGGTGTCCCGTTGGCAATTTATTGGATATAGTAGCCTAGTTACCTGGAAAAGAATGTTTTAAAAATAAAAAAAACACAAGTTACACTTAAAAGTGTTCAGACCAAGAATGAGTATAGAGATCAACACCTCAGAATGACTACTTGTGCTCATGTGGACCAACTTAAAAAAAAATAATACAGATTTACCAAATGTGAAACAATCACAATCCCTTCAAAAAAGCATTCATCTGCAATGGTTGGGTAAAATATGTCACACTTATTTAACACTGTAATAAATAAATACAGGGGATTGTGGCGGTCTCATATCTAGTTTGTCCCTGGTCAGTGCACAAGTTAGTTCTAATTCTAGATTCACCAAATGTAGAAGCAATATAACCATTCAGTAATCCTTAATCTGTCCCTTCTAGATGTTGCTACTTGAATTTTCTGATACTGTCCATCCTGCTATTTAATGTCCAACTGGATAATAATTGTAGGCAATGAGACATGTCCCGACTATTGCCAGATCTGAAACAACTTAATTGACAGTAATTGTGTATAGAACCCTTGATGCAAGAATTAGCACTTTGTAAAACTAAAGCTCCTGGACCTTGGTGGTAAGTGCTTTTGTGTGTTTTAGTGCTGTCATTGTAGGAAATGGTGTTTGAAGTGAAGACAAAATAGCCATCTCTATGCCCTATTATTACACTTCTCATTATATCTGTAGCAATACAGGGTCTTTATGTGTTGAAAACAAGAGTGCTGGAACACTAAATGCATGTTCTGCATATAGTGTGAGACATCTCGACATAGGAGTCATTTCTAGACAAGAACCTTGGGAAGCAAGGGATCATTGTCTAAGAAGGATTCCCAAGAAGAATTATTACCAATATGATAATGTAACCTCATTAGGCAATTATACTACCACTGTATATTCAGCTGACTGTACAATTGTATTTGCATATAGAAAGTTAGATGCATATGTTAGTGCCCAATCTGGCTATAATGGGAGCGTTGTGAATGTAGATTATTTCCAGTATGTTATTAAAATTTTTGCAGGAAAGCCCTGGGCATCATTTTATAAGTGCCTCTGGCCCTAGCACAGTTTCTTCCTGCTTTTAGGTTGATTCTACAACAAGACAGTTCAGACACTGGAGATATCAAAACTATGTATTTAAAGTGATACTAAAGGTTCAGGTTTTTTTTTTTATAACAAACGTCATACTTACCTGCTCTGTGCAATGGTTTTTTATACAGAGCAGCCCCAATCCTCCTCTTCTTGGGTTCCCCACCAGTACTCCTGGCTCCTCCCCCCTTTTAAGTGCAAGTAGCTTTCTGTGGGGGCATTTGTGCGTGGTCGCTCCCAAGCCACTGAATGTGGCTCGGCTCAGCCCCCTGTTCCCTGCCTACTGGCTGTGATTGACCGCAGTGAGAGCCAATGGCTGTGCCTTAGCCAATGAGGAGGGAGAGACCTGCAGAGTTCACTTGTGCACATCGAGATTGGGCTCAGGTAAGTTTTAGGGGGACTGAGGGGGGAGCTGCACACTGAATGCATAGAATGCACAAAGGTAAAAAGCCTTCCACCTTTATGATCACTTTAACATATAAAAAAATATTCAGCCGCCCCATAAAAAACAATAACAAAGGTTAATACTGGTACCACCTGGTGACAGTATATCCATAACGTAATGCCATGTCAGTATAAATGAAACACTGTAACAAGTATGTGAGCATAAAAATGTAACATCTTAATGGTGCCTCCTTTGATTAAATAAATCAGAAAAAAAAGAAGCTGTCCTTGAGCCACGGGGCTACAAACAACACTGCCTATGCCTTAACTACTGCTTTTCACAGTCTCTGACGGTATTGGATCAGCATGCATGTCTGGTAAGTACAGCTGGAAGTATGAAGTAGTAGGGAGTTTTGACTGTCCTTGTTCTTGTGTGTTCTTCAAGCCATGGACGCATTCCCAATAATGTACACTATTTGTGTTTGATCACCCATTAATACAAAAACATTATTATTTCACAGCTCAACATTCCAACACTCTAAGTAACATGTATAATAAAGAAATAATAACAGCCATAGACACAACAAAATTTGGCAGAGTAAACCTCCCACTGTCAGAATATAAGAGTACTGTGGGAAAGATTCCCCCCATCAATACTGACTATCTTGATAGGGGAATCGAGCAATTTTCCTTCCTTTAATAAGTTACTAAACCCCACTATATCTGGTCTGCCACAGTTCACAGAACATGGAAATGCTATTATTTTAGTAAATATAAACTGCTAGATACCTTTTCTCATCAGCAGTTAGAGCAGTCTTGTGACTTCTATCAGTGTCCAGCAGGGCACTAGCAGGGGCAGACTGACAACTCATGGGGCCCCTGGGCAATAGGGGATCATGGGGCCCCTGTGTCCTTGCCCAAACTCAAAAAAGCCTATGAAAAAGGTACCAGGGGCATCTCATGGGGCCCCCTACTGACCCTGGGCCCTCGGGCAGTGCCTGAGTTTCCAAATGGTCAGTCTGCCCCTGGGCACTAGTTAAAGCTTGCCGGGGGAGTTTTCATTCAGCTCTATTGTCCTATGAGGCTGCATGACCCTTGAACCTCTGTCCGGACAGTGCTGATTGGCCCTGTGCTGATCTCACTTACCCTCCCAAAGAAAAAAAAAATACTCTCTAGCAATACACAACAAACTGAGCATGAGCATCTTGTCTCCAAGGCTCTGTTCTACCAACAGATGGATTGAGGACAGTAGAACAAGGGGAGGATCAGAGAAGACAGGACCAAACATCCTTTTTACATAATATGGATGATTAACCCCTTAGGTTCCACAGTGAGTATAACAAGCATGATTTACTTCATATACAGACTAATTTTACTGTTCTGGGTTTAGTAACACTTTAACCCGTGATATGTATGGCCAGCTTTAGTCTACTAGCCAACATGCCACAGTTTCACAATAAAGGACATTTTTAACTGATCCATTGTATATTAGCATGTCACTTACTGTATATTACTGTATGATTAGACACAATCATTTCCATTATTATCAGGAACCTGTCAGAAGAGAAATACTCTACAAAAGCTGTCAATGCTGACTTGTTTTTGGAGGAACAGGTTCTGAGTTGTTCAGATCAGGATCTAAATAAATAGTAAAACAAGGAAGAGAGACACAAATTAGACATCGATCAGCATTGACCGGATTTCCATACTGGTGCTTTTAAATATCGACTACATTAGAACTACATTATGTGTAACATTGGAATACTAAATGGGATTCTGATATTATCTCATAAGGATCAATTCACAGAGCATTGCCATGTGTTTTTTTTACCAACAAAAAAGGAATTTTCAAGTAACTAAAACATCACTACATAGATCAAGTACATTTACTGCGTGCGTGTTATTTTATTGATTTTCTTGTAAGTAAAAGTCATTTTAATGCTCTTTAAAGTGTAGTTCTACTTTTGCCACCAAATTGCGATAACACCAGCTTTTTATATTTGTTGCATGTTCTCATTCACACTTCATATCTTGAAATGAAAATTAAAATGGCAACTAAGTTTTTAGATGCTCTACTCCGGACCTTCCAGCAAGGGAAATCCTAGGTAGTTTTCTTTGTTTATGAGAAGACTGTGCATCTGTGTTTGCCATAATTAGCCCTGTCTGTACTGTGCAAGCTGATCTTCATTATTATTGTAACTAGATATAAACATTGTCTGTTGTAACAAAAGGTTAAAGGTGTAAAGACTGCCCTTTTTGCTTTGTATGGTAATGAGGACAGACTTGGGACAGGCTCACTTTAACATTGTTCAGATAAAAATTGCTGTCCGCCACCTGCTCCTGGGGAAACATCTAAAGGTAAGAATATTTTTACAAAAATGTAGGCATTCTGTGTAAATGGGAACACATAAAAATATAGTGAGGTTTTCTCAAATTTGACTGTAAAAGTGGAAATACGCTTTAAACTGTCATTACTTTCAGAGGATAACTGTGAGTTTCAAAAGCTGTCTATTGAGGAAAGTAGGAAAAGGGGCCATGGGGGTGGTGATAAAATAAAAATAAGAGTTTTATGAGAAAAGCAGGCTTTTTTACAGATCAATGTCCAAAATAACAATAATATACCGAAACACAATTTATGTTTGTGAGTTGTAAAAATTATTGTTAGAGAACGTAGCAAGTTAGGCAGACCTAACATCAAAAAAATACTTTATTCATGTTAAGAGTATGTGCTTTAAGAATTATAGAACACTTCCAGTTATTTATTGCCTCTCATAAAGACCACAATACTCTCCATGGCAATGCCTTTATCTACTTTCAGATATGTATAACCTTTTACAGAGACCACAATACTCTCCCTGGCAATGCCTTTATCTACTTTTCTCTCAAGAAGGATGGAGACATCAAGAGTTAGCATTTACTTTATGGATGGAGATGCTGGCTTAAGGATAAAAGAATCATGCATAACCTGGTGCCTGTGCATTTTTTGACTGTGTTCATAAATATCTGACCCAGATCTGCCTCTGCCGCAGTCTCATCTTGTGGCAGAAATGCAAGACATAACATTTGTGTATATATAAAAAAAAAATATTTTTCTTTTTTTTTTATAAGTGCTCACATGACTTCTTCTCAGCAGCATAAGGGGCCTAGAGAGCTTGGGGTGTTGACTGTGCGGGGGGCGCATGTCAGCAGTGGGAGAGAATCAGCAGTACACTAATCTTCCCAGTGAAGAGCAGTCAGCACAAGTCTTGGCCATTGGAAGACAGGTAGGCTGTGCTCCCAGCACAGCCAGAAAACTGAACATGCTGGGATGGATGTGTGTCTATGTCTAGTGTGGTCAGTTTAAATAGGAAAGCTGGAAGACTAGCAGGGTCACTAGGTATTTCAGAGAGAGCAAAGAGAGCAGGATATTTTTTAGCAAGCTTTAGCATATTGTTTTAAGAAGGATTTTTTTTAACATGTACGTGCTACAACAGACACATATCAGAAATATGAAATGTTGGAGCAACATACTCTTTAATAAATTAAATATAATAAAAAATATAATATTAGAAATATGAAATATTGGAGTAACGTACTCTTTAATAAATTATAATATTAGAAATATGAAATATTGGAGTAACATACTCTTTAATAAATTAAATATAATAAAATATAAAATCAGAAATATGAAATGTTGGAGTAACGTACTCTTTAATAAATTAAATATAATAAAATTACACTTAAAATGAAGCGACTTGATCTGGGCATGTCAACAAAGCACAATATCCTCAGGAACACCCAGACACACCATCAGTTACTAGCTAGTAACAGGAGAGGACATTAAACATGATGATAGTGCTGGTCACTGGGAGAGCTGAGATATAACAGAATGCAAAAATGATCCATGCTGGTGTGAAAAAAGAGGGTAATGTTACGTACTAGGTGACTGATGTACCTCCACTAAGCACTGACATGTTTCGAGGACATGCCCCTTTTTCACAGCCTAATCATTGGGAGCAGAGACTATGGAAATGCTGCCTTCTGCCTGCAGCAAACTGATTACATAATCTAAGCCTAGGCAAAGTCACTTGAGCTCAAGGACTGTTTTTTAATAATAAAATGACAGTTTTTTATACTACTGTTGTAATAAACTGAACTGGCAGCGCACATTATGCTATCAATATGATTCTGCTGTCATGTGACACCTTTGTATAATTTATTTGATATGGTAATTGTATTTGAAATATGTCTGACCAGTTTCTGCAGCATATTACCATTAATATATTTGCACCAAATTATTTTAATAAAATAAGCATGTGTAAGAAAATCTATCTGAACCATATCTAAAATGAAAGCAACAGAGTGTTTATGAACATTAGGTTGAATTATGAAAAAATATGATACATTTAAGTTCCGCTACCAAAATAACTTGTTTATTATGTTTATTCTACATATTCATTTCAATGGGGGCTCCATTCCAGAGTCTGGATCAATGCCGGGAAATCTGTTCCAGCCAAGAATTTGGAAGCCTCAAATCTGACTGCAGTAGATAGTTTCACTATTTCCGCTAATGAGTAGAAACTACTGCAGCACAAACAGTACAGGAAGCAGATTCTGATTATACTATACAAAATGATTATATGTGCTTTATACCTCTATGGCAAAGGCAAGAGAGGTTTCATTTTAATTACTGAAGGTTCCATAGGTACTGTAGGTCAATGTGAATGACACCTGGTTTATAAATAACTGAGCAGGGTGCTCATATTAAAGTGTTAACACCTGACAACACAACTTCAGCATCAAGCAACACTTCGGGCCACAAAGCACACACTATCCGTTTCTTAATTACTGGTATATGAAGCAAGGTATGTAGACCAACTTTCCATTTCCTTCATTGCATGAACTGGGTGGTTTTGCAAAGATCTTGTTTCCATTAATGTATAATGACACATTTATGTCTTGAGGCAAAATTGTCACCTCACCCTGAGCAGCAGAAGGAAGAGGGTAGCATGAATTAATAAGCTGCTTTATTTTCTATTTATGGGCTATTTATGTTGTATGTTTTCATCCACTTAGATCTGAAAAGCAGTAAATTCACTTGAAGTCTGAAATAATCAAATAAAGATGTAATCTACAAAAATGGATGGCATAGCATGACTGAATCATCTTTAAAATGGTGTTAAACCTAAAACCAAAAATGCAATATATTGCATCTTACTAATCTTTAGATGTAATGGCTGCATTAGTTTTTATTTTTTATGCTTTTATTCCATTATTTTCACCCGGTAATCTGGCCAGTAACACACCTTTATTAGGGAATCTTCACTCTGGATGGAGTAGCAATGGAGACACCTTTGGACAGTAGCATTGTCAATCTGGGATGACGGTGGTGTTAGATGTATTAGCAGATTTAGATGGACTAGACTGCAAATTACAGGAAAACTCAAGCTAACACTTTTTTAAGCAGTTTAGAGCAAAAGTTTTTTTTCTTTTTAGGATAAAGGAGTTACATAAATGAATAAGCTGAGCATTGTAAGCACTCCCGTCAGTGTTAAATAGTTTGTCTCATCCCTCCCACACTTTTGATGGACAGTTGCTCTGTTAAAAGAAGGTAAATAAACAATAGAAAATACCACTACAAATAGTGGAGGTGGGAAGTTGGTATAGATCTAGCTACTGTATAAGAACCAACAGAGATATAGTCCCCAACTCATAACTATATCAATTCACAGACAAAACAACGGGGGCTTTAACTGTATCTCCAGGGATCGTTCACAGACTCCATATTATAAAATATTATTATTATTATTATACAGTATTTATAAAGCGCCAATAGTTCACTCAGCGCTGTACAATACAAAGGGGGACAGAACATGTGACAGAACAATACCAATACAATGCAAAACATGAGGGGATCGAGGGCCCTGCTCTTTCGAGCTTACAATCTAGGATATTCTCTTTTTTATTTAAAAAATCCTATATAAAAGTTAGACCAAAGTCAGTAAAAAACATCAGTTGAAGACTGGCGTTCATCAACAAGATCTTAGAAAACAATAGTGTGAATTGGTATGAAAAACAACAGATGTACTGGCTAGGTCACCAGGTAAAAATCATATTTAAAAAAGAACCCTTAAAAAAGGAAACACACACACAGGCATCAAATCTAAGGACTGACAACCTGCAGTAGAATACATTTTTGTTTTTAGGTTTAATACCCCTTTATCTATATCTTTATATAATCAATGTTCAATTCTCCCTTCCACACTCATAAGCTAAATTGCACAACCCCCTCCCCCAGCTTCTTACCTCAATTCCAGAGATACGGTTTACAGCCTGAACTAGAAATCTATCCAGTGCTGGCCGTGCATCTACTTGAATGGAGCTGTAGATCATGACTGGAGATCCTCTGTATACTGCTCTATTCAAGTCAAGGGGAATACAGTGCACAAATGTGGACAGGGCTCAACAGATTTTCACTTGAATAGGGTGTGAACACCAAAGGAGGCAATGGCCTTAGAATAGAATTGAGGTAAGTATGAGTCTGGGAGGGGGATGTGTTTTGCAGCTTAGCTTGGTGGCAAGCTGGGAGGAGACCCTCTGATTGGAAGCATCAAAGCTCCAGTCTACCTATCTTCTGGGGCCAGTTGTCTGCCCATCCCTCCAGCTATATATTATAGGCTAACATATACACTATGTTGCCAAAAGTATTGGGTGCCTTTACACGCACATGAACTTTAATGGCATCCCAGTCTTAGTCTGTAGGGTTCAATGTTGAGTTGGCCCACCCTTTGCAACTATAGCAGCTTCAGCTCTTCTGGGAAGGCTGTCCACAAGGTTTAGGAGTGTGTATATGGGAATGCTTGACCATTCTTCCAAAAGCACATTTGTGAGGTCAGGCACTGATATCGGACGAGAAAGCCTGGCTTGCAGGCTCTGCTCTAATTCATCCCAAAGGTGTTCTATTGGGTTGGGGTCAGGACTCTGTGCAGGCCAGTCAAGTTCCTCCACCTCATCCATGTCTTTATGGACCTTGCTTTGTGCACTGGTGCGCAATCATGTTGGAACAGGAAGGAGCCATCCCCAAAGTGTTCCCACAAAGTTGGGAGCATGAAATTGTCCAAAATGTCTTAGTATGCTGATGTCTCAAGAGTTCCCTTCACTGGAACTAAGGGGTCAAGCCCAACCCCTGAAAAACAACCCTAAACCATAATCCCCCCCTACACCAAACTTTACACTTGGCACAATGCAGTCAGGCAAGTACCGTTCTCCTGGCAATCACCAAATCCAGACACTAGATTGCCAGACAGAGAAGCATGATTCGTCACTCCAGAGAACATGTCTCCACTGCTCTAGAGTCCAGTGGCGGCATGCTTTACACCGCTGCATCCAACGCTTTGCATTGCATGTGGTGATGTAAGGATTGGATGAAGCTGCTCAGCCATGAAAACCCATTCCATGAAACTCTCTACACACTGTTGTTGTGCTAAACTGAAAGCCACACAAAGTTTGGAGGTGTTTAGCTATTGACTCTTCAAACAGTTGGATACTTTTGTGCACTGTGCGCTTCAGCATGCTCTGACCCCGCTCTGTCATTTTACATGTTGCTGTTGTTCCCAGTTGCTTTCACTTTGTTGTAATACAACTAATAGTTGACCATGGAATATTTAGTAGCAGGGAAATTTCACAGATAGCACAGGTGGCAACCTATCAAGGTACCATGCTTGAATTCACTGATCTCCTGAGGGTAACTCATTCTTTCACAAATGTTTGTAGAAGCAGTCTGCATGCCTAGGTGCTTGATTTCATACACCTGTGACCATGGAGGTGATTGAAACACCTGTATCCAATACTTTTGGCAATATAGTGTAGATCCAGATGGACCTAGTGTACAGTAAGGTGAATGTGTAAACCAATGACCCAAAAGTTGATCAGTCTGGCACATTCAATAGACAAATATAGAGAACAAATTAATAGTGGGGAATGCAATTTTGATAGTGCACGTGCACCCACCAGTCCCTGTTGCACTCACCGATCATCACTTTCTAGGGTTGCTTGGAATTTCAGATTATTATTATTATTATACAGGATTTATATAGCGCCAACAGTTTGCTCAGCACTTTACAATATAACGGGAGACAATACAGCAACAATACAGTTCAATACAAAAGGGTTAGGAGGGCCCTGCTCCTTGGAGCTTACAATCTAAAAGATAGAGATGCATAATAGAGACCTTGCACCTAGCAAGGTCCGCTTATTTAGTAAGGGTATTGTCCCCCATCTGAATTTGCTGCACTAAACTGTAAAATAACACCAGCTGGGGGGAAAAAACATTTCTGCTGGCAGCACCTACATGAGGGTTATGGGAGTCTAGGGAATGTAGAGTGGCCCAAATCTAGTGTACTGTGCTGTAATGTTGTCTCACAAGATTTTGGGCACTTGGCAGGCTCTTGTTGGAAGGACAGTGATGCAGTATAGAATCCAGGGGAAAAGTAAGTATGCAACCTACAAGTTCAAATATTTACCATCACACAAGTGTCCCCAGTGTGAATATCACAGCAGCCAAAGAAAAATACCAACTCCCCCTGGAGGGTCACAGTTCACTATGATCCAAATGTCCAGCACTTCAGAAAGAAGTCAAAGTCTATTACAACGAAACGCATCAGTAAGTGACATCAGACACTGATGCTGGAACTTGAAGTGCCTATTCTGCCATCTTGGATGCTGGAAAGAGTGTATATTCCTGCCAATGTGAGCATTTTGAATGTAATAAATGCACTTTAAAGGGAATTTTCTGCACTATTAGCTTTTTTTGTTTTACTTTTACATGTCCTGTTTACAGCTCAACTATTGGAAGACTGAATAATAAAGAAGTTGGAGGAGCAATATATAAGAAAAACATTAAAAGCAAGATCACAACCCTGTGCCATAAGTGTTGCTTTGAGTAAGGTGTTTTTTGTGTATGGGGGAAGGTGCCCGGAGTTATAGATGAATTGACAATTTTGCAATGAGGAAAGCACAGTATAATGTGAGCACAATTTTAAATAGTAGTATATATGTATTTGTTTTTGGATGTACTGCACTATTGAGGTTTTTCCTTTTGGGAGATACTGTGAGGAAGAGGATTCAAAAACTGGGCCTGGTTTATGGGTGTGAGATCTTGGCTGGAGAGATATGCAATATAAGGTGGATGTTCGGTAAGAAAATAGACAGAGGGAGTGAGGAGATATGATATATCACTGGTCACTGGTGATAATTACGCATGTTGTCACACACACATGTAAGCACAATATTGGAATTTTTAATGGCATTATACATTGCTCAAAATAATTAAAGAAACTCTTTGAAAACACATCAGATCTCAATGGGGAAAATATCATGCTGGATATCTATACTGATATGGACTGGGTAATGTCTTAGGAACCTAAGGATGCCCCATCATTTGGTGGAAATGAAAATTATCAACCTACAGAGGACTGAATTCAAAGACACCCTGAAAATCAAAGAGAAAAAATTATGCAGCAGGCTAGTCAATTTTGCTGAAATTTCATTGCAACAACTCAAAATGGTACTCAGTAGTTTGTATGGCCCCCCATGTGCTTGTATGCATGCCTGACATCATTGGGGCATCCTCCTAATGAGACAACAGATGGTGTCTTGGGGTATTTCCTGCCAGATCTGGACCAGTGCATCACTAAGCTCTTGGACAGTCTGAGGTGCAACCTGGCGGTGTTGGATGGACCGAAACATGATGATATCCCAGAGGAGTTCTATTGGATTTATGTCAGACGAGCATGGGGGCCATTCAACGGTATCAATTCCTTCATCCTTCAGGAACTGCCTGCATACTCTCTCCACATGAAGCCAGGCAATGTCATGCATCAGGAGGAACCCAGGACCCACTACACCGGCATAGGGTCTGACAATGGGTCCAAGGATTTCATCCCCATACCTAATAACAGTCAGGGTGCCATTGTGTAGCCTGTAGATGTCTGTGCGTCCCTCTATGAATATGCCTCACCAGACCATCACTGACCCACCACCAAAACAGTCATGCTGAATGATGTTACATGCAGCATTACATTCTCCATGTCTTCTCCAGACCCTTTCACGCCTGTCATTTGTGCTCAGGGTGAACCTGCTTTCATCTGTGAAAAGCACAGGGTGCCAGTGGCAGACCTGCCAATTATGGTGTTCAATGGCAAATGCTAATCGAGCTCTATTGTGCTGGGTAGAGAGCACAGGGCCCATTAGAGGACATTGGGCCCTCAGGCCACTCTCATGAAGTCTGTTTCTGATTGTTTGGTCAGAGACATTAACACCAGTGGCCTGCTGGAGGTCATTTTGTAGGGCTCTGGCAGTGCTCATCCTGTTCCTCTTTGGACAAAGAAGCAGATACCAGTCCTGCTGATGGGTTAAGGACCTTCTACAGCCCTATCCAACTGCCTGTCTCCTGGAATCTCCTCCATGCTCTTAAGGCTGTGCTGGGAGACACAGCAAACCTTCTGGCAATAGCACATATTGATGTGCCATCCTGGAGGAGATGGACGACTGCCTGTACAACCTCTGTAGGGTCCAGGTATCACCTCATGCTACCAGTAGTTACACTGACCCTAGCCAAATGCATAACTAGTGAAAACAGTCAGAAAAGATGAGTAGGGAAAACATTGTCAGTGGCCTCCCCCTGTAAAGCCATTCCTGTTTTGGGGGTTGACTCATTGTTGCCCATCTAGTTCACCTGTTGTTAATTTAATTAACACCAACACAGCTGAAACTGATTAGAAACTCCCTTCTGCTACTTAACTGACCAGATCTATATCCCAGTTTAATTGACTTGATGCTATACTGTGATTAAAAAGTGTTCCTTTAATTTTTTTTGAGCAGTGTAGATGGTATTACACTATATGAGTTCTTTTTGTTTTTGGAATATACGTGAGAGGAAATTAAGATTCATATGGAAGATACTTAAGCGTTGGAGTGACAAAGTTTATTGGAAATAAATAAGGAAGATTCAGAGGCGTGGGAGTGATGCGGCTTCATTTGACCCATTCATTTGTATGTGGTTCAGAAAAATTCAGCAAGAGTCTGAGGAAGTGACCTTATTGGATATATTTACCTGCTGGGGGATAGGAAAAACTTCCTTCAGAAGCGCTAAACAGTTGGATCATAGTGAAGTATGTAACCTAGCCCCTTCCCCCATTTCCCCAACACAAATGCACGAAGAATACAAATGAACGAAGAATACTAATGCACGAAGATGTCTCTTGACAGTTAATTGTAGTGAAAAAGGATGGGGAGAAGGATAAGCAGACCTTGCATTAGGTCTAGGGGCCGCTTTAAAGGAGTTCTATGATCACAGCATACTCTTTTATTTTATAACCGCAGTATTGTAACAGCAATGAAAATAATAATTATTTTTGACAAACCAATATAATCTTGCTCAGAAATTCTCCTTGCATGTTGTGAGTTCTGCCTGTCTGCTGGCCATCTCTTTCCACAACTTTCTGGGTTCCCTGCATGCTTTGCAGCTTCTTCTATGCAAAGGTTTACTTTTGATTTTAAATTACATGTCCCATGGCACCTTTGCTGTCTATAAGCAGATATTCCTGTACTGACTGAAACTCCTCTTCTCAGCACCTCTCAGGTTAGAAGGCAGGCTCTGTGAAATGTAAGACGCAGCAGCACCTACCCACAGGACATAGTGACTATGTGACACAGAATTCAAGAAAATGTTTAGGATCCTTGAAAAATAGAAATTTACAAACTTCAAGATCATTCAGAGCTTGATCACACATGGACGTGAACCTATGGATCTTGCTTGCAATATTTTACTTACATAGGATAATGCATGTTATGTGCCAGTAATTGCATTCTGCAGGTTACATGTAAATAGAAAGGAAGGAATTCAAAGGGTAAGTCCTCATGCACATTGGGCATTTTTACAGCAGCTGTTTTTGGCCTTTGGCATTTTTTTTCTACAGCAAGTAAACTCCCCAGCATGTTATCCTATGTGTCCATGCGCACATTGGGTGTAATCAGCGTTTTTTGTCAGGGGCGTTTTTTGGCTGGAAGAAAACCCCGGGACTAGTGGGTTTCTAGAGGAGTTTTTTAGATGCAAAAACGTTTCTAACGCTGAAAAACACAACAAAATGTGGTAAAACGCTGTAAATCGCGGTAAAACGCTGCAAACCGGCATTTTTGGACTTTTGTTGACCCCCCAAAAATTTTTTTTGCTCAAAAAAATGCTAAAAAACGCAAACACGATAAATGCAGGAAAACGCTGCTAAATGTGACAAAATGCCACTAAGCGCTAATGCAAAAATGCTAAAAAAAAAAGCTGAAAACCTCACGTTTTTAATGTGACTACACAGCTAACATTACCAGCGTTATCAATACACCCAGTGTGCATGGAGCCTAAATGTTTGGGATTTTGTGCCACAGACTAGAAGGTAACTGGAAAATTGTTTCTCACCTCTGGAGAAAGCATGGATCCCGGCCTCCTGTTTATGACCCCAGCGAAGGAATGGACCAATGGGTGATCACTTATAATGATGGCAACCTTATTGATCTTTGTCCACTTATCATTGCCAATGATGTTTTGATTAGATGCTGCAAACATTGAGGCTACGTGTGATATATATCAATAAATAGTAAAACATTGTGGTGTAGGTTGGAGCTACAGTATATATATACAGTATGTAGTAATAACACCATAGGCTGTTGCAGAATTGTAAAACCACAATGTAAAGATAATAAATAGCTGGGCTTATAAACCGGAGGAAGTGGAGT